ATTCCATAATATTGAGGAGGAGGCAATTTTCCCCAGCTCTTTCAAGGAAGCCAGTGTCACCTTGATACCAAAGCCAGGAGAGGACATAACAAAAACAGAAAACTACAGACTGATATGCCTTATAAATATAGATGCAAAAATCCTCAACAAAATACTAGCAAACCAAATTCAACATCAAAAAAATAATCCATCAGGACCAAGTTGGCTTCATCCCAGGGATGCAAGAATGGTTCAACATATACAAATCAATAAATTTGATTCATCATATAAAGAAAAGCAAAAACAAAGATCATATGATCATCTCTATAGATACAGAAAAAGCATTTGACAAAATTCAGCACCCTTTCATGATAAAAACTCTCAACAAACTAGGTACAGAAGGAACATATCTCAAAATTACAAAGGCCATTTATGCCAAACCCATGGCCAGCATCATACTGAATGGGGAAAAGTTGAAAACATTCCCCTTAAGAACTGGAACAAGACAAGGGTGGCAACTGTCACCACTACTATTCAACATAGTGCTGGAAGTCCTAGCCAGAGAAATCAGGCAAGAGAAAGAAATAAAGAGTATGCAAATTGGGAAAGAGTACGTTAAAGTATTGTTCTTTGCTGGCAACATTATCTTGTACCTAGAAAACCTCAAAGACTCCACCAAGGGACTCCTGAAATTCATAAATAAATTCAGCAAAGTCTCATGATACAAAATCCATGTACATAAATCAGTAGCATTTCTATATACCAATAACAGTCAGGCTAAGGGTCAAATCAAAGACTCAATACCATTCACAACAGCTACAAAGAAAATAAAATATCTAGGAATATACTTAACCAAGGAAGCGAAAGATCTCTACAAGGAGAATCACAAAAACACTGCAGAAAGAAATCCTAGAGGATACAAACAAATGGAAAAACATATTATGGATTGGCAGAATCAACATTGTTAAAATGTCCATACTACCCCAAGGGATTTACAGATTCAGTGCAATCCCCCCAAAATATTGACATCATACTTCACAGATCAGAAAATTCTATGCTTTGTTTGGAACCAGAAAAGAGCCCAAATAGTCAAGCAGTCTTAAGCAAAAACAATGAATCTGGAGGCACTACATTACCAGACTTTGAACTATACTATAAGCCTGTAGTAACCAAAACGTATGGTATTGGTGCAAAAATAGAAACATCAACCAATGGAACAACAACAACAAAAAAAATAGAAGACCCAAATATAAAAACACCTACCTACAGCTAACTGATCTCTGACAAAGCAGACAACAATGTACATTGGGGAAAAGAAGCCCTATTCAATAAATGTTGCTGGGAAAATTGGAGAACCACATGCAGAAGAATGAAACAGGACCCCTATCTCTTACCATTTGCAAAAATTAATTCAAGATGGATAAAAGTCTTAAATGTACGGCATGAAATCATAAGAATTCTAGAAGATAATGTAGGAAAAACTCTTCTAGATATCGGCCTAAGTGAAGAATTTATGAATAAGACCCCAATGGCAATCATAGCAACAACAAAAATAAATATATGGGATTTGATTAAACTCAGAAATGTCTGCACAACTAAGGAAACAATCGACAGAGCAAATAGGCAACCTACAGAATGGGAGAAAGTATTTGCAAGATATACATCTGATAAAGGGCTAATAACCAGAATCTACAAAGAACTCAAGCAAATCAGCAAGAAAAAAACAATCCAAAAAATCCCATTAAAAAGTGGGCAAAAGACATTAATAGAAGATTTTCAAAAGAAGACAGACAAACAGCCATTAAATATATGAAAAAATGCTCAACATAACTAATCATCAGGGAAATGCAAATTAAAACCACAATGAGATATCACGTCACCCCTGTTAGAATGGCTTTTATTAAAAAGCCCCAAAACAATAGATGCTGACATGGATGCAGAGAGAAAGGAATGCTTATACGCTGTTGGTGGGACTGAGAAAAAAAAAAAAAAAAAAAAAAAAAAAAAAAAAGGAAAAGAAGTCTTTCTATCAAAAAGATACCTGCACTCAAATGTTTATTGCAGCACAATTCACAATTGCAAAAATGTGGAATCAACCCAAGTACTCATCAATTCAAATGTGGTAAATGTGTACCATGGAGTACTACTCAGCCATAGAAAAGGATGAATTAATGCCTTTTGCAACAATTTGGCTGGAACGGGAGACCATTCTCCTAAGTGAAGTATCTTAAGAATGGAAAAAAGACACCACACGTCCTCATTATTAAATTGGAACTAACCGATGAGCACACATATGCACAGAGGGAAGTAAAATTCAGTGCAAATCAAGCAAGGAGGAGGGAGGAGGAGGTGAGGGGCAAAAACCTACCTAATGGTACAATGAACAGTATTTGGGTGATGAGCACACCTATAGCCATGACTCAAGCATTCCAAATGCAAGCCATGTAACCAAAAACATTTGTGCCACCTTAATATTTTGAAATTAAAAAAAAAAACCCAAAAAACAATGTATCACTAAAAGCTATTTTAATTAGCCTTTACTAGTGTACTTTTCTTCTATCATAATAACGTGATTTGATTTTGCCTAGTTTATGTGCTACTAAATACATCTAATTTCCCTTTAAAAAATACCCAATAGTCTAACATCAAATAAAATCTTTTAATTACAAGTTATAAACTTTGAGCATAATAAGTAATATAATTACTCATTTATCCACCTTTATTTACAACATGACATTATGTTTTCCTTAAATATAATTACATAATGATATGGATATAATTTTCTAAAATAATGTAACTAATAAGGATGCCACAATTAACTAAACTGAGCTGTCTTCAAAGACTATATGTAAGTAAACATAATAAATGCATAATCCAATTTTCCATTGATTTATACAATTAATGAACCAGAGAAGTTATCCTACAGAAAAAGAAATAACCAAAAAATAAAAAAAGAAGAAGAATAAAACAAATCTGGCAAAGAAGAGATCATTACAAATTCTAGAACTTGTTTAAATATAACAGCATTTTTGTTGGTCCTATTTTTGTATCTTAGTTTGTATCTTGTTAGTCTCTTTAACGGCAAACCGCAAGGCTTGATAACATGGCAAGGCTTCGGTCCCTCTCTTTGGCTGCCACTTTTAGCAGGCTCTGACTAAAGGGCAAGGGCAGGCGTTAGCAATGAGAGGGTTCCATCATAGACTATAGCCATATGCTACTTGCAATCCTGATGGCAATGGCAAAGGAATGACCAGATAGCTATGTCAGCGAAAGCTTTGGTAATGCATGATAAATTTGTTTTTAATTTTATGTAGTTGGTACTAAATACATGTCTGCGTAATAAACGTCAAAGGATGTCAGAAGTAGAGTAGCTATAGGAAAAGATCCTAAATTAATATATTCAGAGTTGGTATTCCTCATTTTCCCATAAAGCTCTATTGCTTCCTCTCAAGGCTTATCTTTCCTTAATGGAAGAGGTAAGTTCCTCATGAGGTGTCATTTAAAGGGCAGTTCCCCATAATACCTCCTTCATAGTTTTCCAGAGAACTACCATTTCCCACTTGCCGTGAAGTTTCCACTAGTAGAGTAATTCCTTTGGGTTAGGTAAGAAAGATGGTGCTGTGGACATGGGAAGGGAATGAGCTATCCCATTAATAAAATGATATAAATTAATTGATCAGATTAGCCAATTTATACCATGGAAGAATTAACAGCTGGGATGGGGACATTACCACGTGCTGAAGACAAATATCCATTTTAACCGTTTTTATAGCTTATGTTATAAGGGTGAAAAGGACAAATGTGTCCAATAGTAACATTTAAAATGCTGGCATCAAACGTACTATTCATGTATAAAGGAGTTTGTAGTAGATTTATGTTTGGTGTGACTATTTGTTTCATTAAACTCAGAAATAAAGTTATTGTGAAAAAAGGATCCTCCATGCACCTTGCTGAAGAAACTCATTAAAAGTTACAAAAAGCCATAATTACTGCCTAAACAATCCCACTATATCCTCAACTGGCCCCAAAGGTTAAAGCTATGGACTTTTTCTACATCCCACTGTCCAAAGGAGGATTCTTAATCAGTTATTGTTACTGTGCAAAGTTTTGTAGGCACACATAAAAATAGTTTTTCTATTTATTTCTCTAATTTCTATATAGAAATGATTTGTGTATATTTTTACTAACCCTAAACTTGACAGTATTCTGCTTTTAAAATAATTATTTCCAGAAAATATGAATGGCTACCATTAAGAATAAAGTCAAAGAAATTTCACATATGAATTCGTGTCATATGGGGAAAAAGTTATCATAATAAATTAAGTATTAAACAAATATTTCCAAACTATATTCAGTTCAATTTTTAATAAGTTTTTAAAAAACTTTTTATGAATTTACTAATTTATAAGACATATTTGTATTCTAAGTAATTCCAAACAGAAAACCTCCTGTAAGCCAAGTCCCAGCACTAATTCATGATTCATCATCTAAACTTTAATTGGCACAACTCTTGAAATTTTGGGACCATATGGAAAATAATGAGTCCTAACAGGTCTAAGGTGAAAAGATGGCATGGGAGTAAGGAAGCCAGAAAACCATCAATTCAGAATGCTTAGCAACTACAACACAATTTCCCCAGAGATCTAGAACAATGTGTTCTCAATGTTTTACTGGTCTTGCTATCATATATAAATAACTAAACTGCATATTATTTCTCATTTTGTGAGACAAAGATTAAAATGGAAAAACAAAAACAATCCAAAAATTGGTTTCCGTAATTAAAAATGAACTTGGCTGTTAACTAAAAAAAAAAAGCAGCAGTTTAGAGTTACCATAACAACCTGACGCAACTGTTGACTGACACAGAAATCTGTTGCATTTTTATAAATAGCAGTTGATCTCCCCTCTTTCATTTCAACTAGTTTTAGTGCTTATTGGAGCTAATGGAACAACTGTGCTTTAAAAGACTACTTCACTCATCAAGCAGTGTAAAAGACTACTTCACTCATCAAGCAGTGTACCTCTTCGCTGCTGTCACCACCATAAATATCATCCTCCAATTGGGTGTCACTCCTTGTCACACTGTTATTTTCTTTTAGATCCAAAATAAATGGAAGCTCCTCTGGGGACATATTCTGTGTCTTTCCATGAGGTGCTGATCGTGGTCTTGATGAAAAGGTGAAAATGTCCTTTGGAACAATCTGGGTTTCCTCTGCCTGTTGATCCTGTTCACTTTCCTTGCTGGCTTCTAGCCATAGGTGTGAAGTGTTGCAGGAGTCATCATCCAGAAGTAAAGACTGTCTTCTGGACACCAAATGGAGAACGTGACCATCATTTTCAGGAAATATCCACTCATCTGACATTTGGAAAAGATGACAAAAATTAGAGTAGTGCTCCATAAAAATTTTATTTTAGGCAGGTAGCTAGCTTAAAATTTCTTGATGTTGAAACATTTATCAAATAATGCAAAAGCCAAGGAAGGCAATTTATCCACCATCCTGTAACCTGCTAAACATTTGATCCAAAGATTAGTGCCTATAGCTACAGGCAACTCATTTGCACTTCCTCACCATCTGAGTTGAAGCACTGGCCAGAAAATTTATAAGTCTGAAATAATTATCACCTGTCTTGCAAGTTCTTTATAGCACAACCTCATTAATTTGACATTCCAGAGAGGGAAAATCTTCCAAGTTTAAAAGGGTTTGAGTTACTGGTATCTCTTTTTAACTGCAGTACTTAATCAGCTTCTTTAAATAAAATATCTGGTCATTGTTTGGATTATAAATCACGGAGAAGAGGAAATCATGAAAAGGCTGACAGTCTTTTTCTCTCCATTCTGCTGATTGAAACAGGACAATTCATGGTCTAAACTGAGTAGACTTTTCAAATCATAGTAAATCCGTAGAAAAGTTTGTTAATTGGAGTGATAGATTCTGCTGGGTAAAAAAGATCTTTATGTTTAAGTTTAGAAGAGAATGTTTTGACACTAAAATATTTTTGCACATGGTATTTGTTTTCTTTAAAAGTACTGTATATTACCACTTAGATATGTTTTTATCAAAGCTTCTTAAGACATCAATCTTTTATACCACAATGATCCAGGCAAATTGCAAAGGACAAATCTTTATAATGATATCATTAAAAGCATGCTTACTTTCTTCTTTAGAATGACAGTAGGAAAAAGTTGAGCACTTTCTCAATTTACTCTATTTTTCTTGAAATTTACTTTTTTGCAGCATTATTTTAACAGTGAAATCTTGCAAGAACTGTTCCGCAGAACCACAACGTGGACATGATAATTTTACACCTTATTTTTGAATCCTATTGTATCTATGATCATAATAAAAGTAACCAAGAGAGATCTAAGATATACTAACTCCAAAGCCTATACTACAAAAGCAAAACAAAAACAAACAAAAAAGACCTTTCATAAATGTAACATTGATGGCAGAAATAAAATGTTTTACAATTGCATTCAACTGTTTCTTAACCTAAGACTACCATTACATAACATAACTTGCTTGCAAAAAGGGTGATAGATGTACACTACTTAGAGAAAATCTATTAGGATCAAGGCTTTCATTATTCAGAGTCTGAAATAATGAACAGAGGGACAGAGCCTGTAGGTATATGGCCAATGGCAGGATGAATCTACTTCTGACCACCTTCACAGGCGATGTAGATGGTCCTGAATCACTGTAGCTTTGGGGCAGTGAACTAAACAGATTCACTGGGCTCACCTATTTGAGACTGCAAATCCCTTTGCATGGTGCTGGGCACATAGCAGCTGCTTTGGAAACACAGTAGGTGCTCCAAAAATGCTGTAAAAGGTTACAAAGGCCAATCCGTTACATTGGGTACGTGGATATGTGAAGAAATTTGGAGGAAAAGATACTAGGAATCTTCAATACAAACTTCAATGATTTGTATGACCTATTGCCAGAAATATTATTAACTGTCAAAAAGTCAAAGTAAAAGGAGTGTTGTATACTAAACTAACTCTAATTATCTCACTACCACATGCTTTTTTGGAATTTGTAGTTTTACCTCAAGTATTTCCATATCAATTGTAATGAATAATTTGGTGTGTTTTCTTAGGAAAATATGTAAATTACTGTGTAATCACAATATTGCAGCAAACAAGATAAATGCAAGAATGATCACCTAAACATCTAATTAGTTTTTCTACACAGTCAGATTTATGCTAGAGACACTAATTGCACCTAACATTTTAATGAAGGTTTCAACATTGCATAAATAAGACAGACAAACTACAAACAATTTTCATTTATTTTCCTTTTTCCCTTGCTCAAAAACAATTTGCCTTTGTAAAAGTAGCACACACCTGGTAGGCAAGATATGTTGATGGGCTCAATGCTCTCAGCTCCAACCATCTCCATTATAAAGAGGACTGAAGAAATGCAATAATAGATCATCTTTGGGGAGTGTGACAGTGTCATGGGAAAATGTCAAGTTTTAAACTTTCACTCTGAACAGGACAACCAGTGCATTAAAATTTTAAAATAAAAATACTCTTTCATCCATTAAAGTTTGACATAAAATTGAGGTGAAATAAGGAGAATTACAAAAATTTATAAGTTTTAGGAAATGGTTGCATTGCAGCTTTTCAAAATTACTGGATTTGAAATATTTAGCATATTTATATTTTATTAATTATCAACAAATATGGCGTAATAAAGATGCCAACCTGCTTGATCAGGAGACTGGGGTCCTAGAATGCTGGGGTTCGACATCTCTGTTCCTTGTTGGGACACAGTAGTGAGGACAGTTGTGGCTTTATCTTCACTGCTATTATTTCCTGAAGAACTCCCTTTATTAAAATAAATATTTTCCACTCTGTTACTTCTTTTGAACTTTATAAAAAATAATTTTGAAGAATGGTTTCATTTGCTATACTTTGCTATTTGATTATTCAAAAGCAAATTAGAGGTAATGATATGAATTATATGCATTTATTTTTTCAGTAGAATGTTTTAAGAAGAACTCAGCTGCATTTTTGTAGAGGTTCACCTTAAAATTCTTTGATATTTACACAAGGACATTTCAGATTTAAATTTTACAATATGTGGTAAAAAGAATTCCAAAACCCACATAATTTTTAAAGGGTCTTATATTTTTTCCTTTGGGTTTCACATAAAATGAAGTGTGTTTTCTTTAAATTATAATTCTTCTTAAACATGACTCTTTTAGACCAAGCTCTTTACTTCAGTACCTTAACAAAATGGATGCAGACATTATTGAAGAATTAATTTTTCTATTTACTCTTTTATAAAAACAACATGAAACCTAGTAGGGTGAATTTCAGCCAACCAAGAAACCTTACATTTTTGAGAAATTACAACAGATGTGTACATGATATACTTTGGGCTGTATTCAGGATAGACTAATCTATGTGTACATAAATCTATACATACATGCTTCAAATCTAGTATTTATAGGAATAACTATAATAGCTACCTATATTTGTCTAATGCTTTACTGGCTGCAAAGAGTTTAAATTTTAACCTACATTATAACATATGGCAAAGAATCCAAAGGGAGAGATAGCAAATGTAAACAACAATCTGACAAGAACCCAGTTTAAAAAGAAAAGACATAAATGAAACATGAAAAATTATAATAAAGTTCAATTTTAGTGAAGTCTACAGGCAGGAACTTCCTCTAGCACATTTGGGCGATTTTTAAAAACAATAATTTAAGCTTATTCAGCCTTTGAGAATAAAAGTAGGAAGTCCTTTATTTCTGTGGTACTGTATTTAATCCAGCAAATCTCTGTTAGGGCTCTAGAACAATTCTTTTGCAGAAAATTTGATTTCCATAATCCCTGTGGAACAGACATTTATATTTTAAATGAATTGGTTCATAAGCCTTTGAAATTTACAACCTGCAGAGAAAGATTCCATTGCCCTGTATAATAGACAGATATAAGATAGTATTGAAATAGTGCCATACCACTGGGTGTCTCTCTCCTTTCTCTGCTGGTGCTTTTTAACCGTAATCTTCTTCTGTTATTATTCTTATCTGTTGATGGTTCTTGAGGGGGATGTGGACGCATAATATGTAGATTGGCTGGTACATTTTCATAACAAAGAACAAAAGCCAGAACAGAAAGTACTATATGGATTAAAGTAATTCAGTAAATATAACTATTGCTATAATGAGAATATTCATGTATCATTTTGACATAATGTGAAATTGTATCAAAAACATAACTTATTTCTTTATAGAATATAGGTATTTATTCTTATTCCAATATTAGGAT